GTCAAATGGGCATTAGCCAATGAAACGCGGACCCTGTGGTAAGGTCCATAGCTACTCTTCCTCCCTGTGGTGAAACAACCAATCAGAGCCAGGCGGCGGATCTTAGCACTATCAAGCAGATATTGTTGTGAATGCTTAGACTAGTTAGCATGGCCACCGATGATGGCGGATTAACAGTTTTCTGTTACTGATAAGTCGTTTCTTCTCATTAGCATATTTAGCAGCTAAATACTCAGGTTCCTTGAGCTTGATTGACAGCGCTAAGACCCGCCTACTGGCTCTAATTGGTTGTTTATGACCGGAAGCTGTGCATTGCTTCAGAGGGCAGCACAGGGGGATCATCTTTTCACACTTTGTCTCATAACATACTGACATGTTGAGTTTTAACAAGCAAAAAAGCATATATATATATATATATATATATATATATATATATATATATAAAAAAAAAAATATATACTGCAGTTTTAAAATTATTTTTGTTGAAGCAACTAATATTTTAAATAAAAATCTTGTCAAAGAAAATTTTGTTTCTCCCCATAAACCCTGACATCACAATTGGATTAATAAATTAAAGTGAAAGGACCACAATTATAATAAAACTCACGGATACCCATTGTTTAAAAAAAAAATTCTAGTAAATCAGATTAAAGTTTCCTGGAGACAGAAAACGTGGAAGAAGATTGAATTTTTTATTTTATTTTTTTCATTTTTTAACTGATGTCCAAAATCCTACTTGTGGCAGTGAACTGCACACCTTCTTGAACAAACCATCTCTCAGGCTGGGGTGAAATTGTTGTGGCAGCATCATAATCTGGGAGTGCTTTTCTTCAGCAGACAATTATTCAGCTCAAATGCATCAGAATGGACCAACTTTTTACTGTAGTATAAAGTTCAAACTTTATAATACAGTTCCATCTTCTTCTTTTTTTGATGTTGTTCCTACTCAGAGACTCTGATCTTCACAAGAATTCTGGTTAAATGCTGAGTATTTTTATATCACTCATATAAGATATTTAGCTGTTAAAGGCTGTAAATAAAACACGAGCAGAAATCTGCCCATGATTGAGATATAGAACATGCACTCTACAGGGGACATCTAGTGGCAGTAGTTTGCCAAAGCAGCTCAGCTGGTTACTGATAGATTTGTGAAGCTTTAGATCAATTATCCCTCTGACTGATTAAATTAAAGAGCCAGCATTCAGTCAGCAGCACCCAGTTTCAATTCTGTTGGTAAAAAACACACCAATTGAACCACATTGTTGACTTCTCTGGCTGCAATTTCATTGATTTTCTGGCATCAAAATCATAGTGGAGTCTCTGATATCTCTCTTTGACTTTTACCATCCCCTTTAGTTTGGTAGCATCTGATCTGTAGACATCGTGTCTTAAGTTTGTGTGTTCATCCAAATTGTACTCTACAAACCTAAGTTATTCAGCCATATTCTTTTGATGTAAAAAGGTTTTCTGCTATCAACCCCTCAAAACTTGCGTCTCCAGTCATGAATCTTTAACATTTCACAGCGTTGCCGCTAGGTTTAGCTCCCTTTGATTATTGTACGTGTTACATATTCCACCGTGTTTATCTTGGGACCTGTTAGCGGTTGTATGTACCGCTACCGCCCGGAGACAAACTTCCCCTTTTGAGAACAGTAAATCAATATTTTTATCTTGATCCTTGCATGTTTAGCTGAGGCCTGTGTAGTCTTGTGATTGAACTTTTGGGTTTCCTGCATTTGCTCTGCACACATTGCATGGTATGATATCTATGTGAACATGGGATAATGCACTCCTGGGAAGATTGGCAAGTGTTTTAAACGCTTTCCACTTAAGATTAATCCGTCCCACTGCAGAACGGTGGATTTCAGATTGTTGAGATATATGTGGTATTGTCTTCAAAAGCAGAGATTTATGTACATTTTCTCAGAATTTGAAGTGTATGACTTGGGTCAAATGTTTTGGGTTTCCTCCCACAGCCTCCTCACAATAGTTTACTGGAGTTCTGGCCCATTACTCCTAAGAACTGCTGGATCTGAAGGCTGCTTCACCCACACACACATTCTACCATCAAATTCTCTATATAGGACTGAGATCAGGGACTTTGTTGTCCAGATGCCCCTTGCACCTGGACTTTGACTTCTCAGTTTATGTCTTTAGATGTTGCTTCAGTATTTTCACATAATGGTCTTTCCTAAGGATATCATCTATTTTATGAAGCGCACCAGTTCCTCCTGCAGCAAACCCCCCCCCAAAAAACAGCTCCATAATGATGATGCTACCGCCATGCTTCACTTTGGGATGGTTTTTCCACCATTTCCTCCCACATGTGGTGATGGTCATAACAGTACCGCTTTGGTTTCATCAGACCACTGATGAAGGTCTTTGTCTCTGTGTACATCGGCAAACTGCAATCTGGACATATTTCACTGTGGACATAAAGAATGGCACAGGATGCCAGGGTCAGGCTGTTTCTGTCTGTGAACAGAAAGGTGTTTGGTACTGAAACTATGACAGGTCCACTTCATGAACTGTAAACCGAAATAGTAAAACCTTGACTGACAATGTCCACTTTTCCATAGATGGACAAACATTCTTGTTTAAAGAAAAAAGGCCAACAGCCACATAACGTTCAGATAAAAATAAGGGTAGTGCAATTTCTAAGTATGATTTTCAAATAAAGTTCAGGTTAATGACTAGTAGGAACTGGAAAGAACAGATTTTGTTTTTTTGTGCCTCCAATTAAGTTTCCAAAGCCATGACATCATCTGGGCTTTCCCCTCATTACTTAAAGAGACAGTAATCAATCTGTATGTACACTTCTGATTTTAAAGACATTAATAAATTAATCTCTGACATAATACTGACATTTAACAGAAAGAAATAATTTTGGTTATTCTAGCCGACCTAAAACATAAGAAGTTTGTTAGTTGAAATATATATATATTATTTTATGTATGTAAATGTTTGGCATGTTTCTGTATGCACCAGAGCCTTTTCCTCTCAAATCCTACGGAAGCAGACTTACTTACAAGGCCCTTGTTTTTTCATAAAATCATGAGCAACAAGCAGGTTCCAAAAATTGCAAGCAAAGTAAAAATAAATGTCTTCTTTTCTAAACCACGTGGTTTATGTCTACGGGTTTTGGGGAGTAGGGTTGAAACAAACATGCTAACCGAGCCTCAAAAAAAATCCTTCCAGACGTGGTTTGAGGCAACGACTGCTCCATCATCAGGAAAGAAACGTGAGTGGCTCAACATAATTTATTTCCATTTTATGTTAAAATGTACAGAGTTCTTGCTAAGAAAGAAAAAATAATAAAAATAAAAACAAAATGAATAAATTGAAATACATACAGGGACAGAGTAGAGAGCTGAGGCGGCTGAGCACGACTCAACCTTCACTGTGTGCTCCGCTGTCACCAGCGTCTCTTTATTTTGCGCTCTCTCTTAGCATACAACGCAACATGTACAATTACAAAGGATACAAAAAGGGAAGCAATATAAACAGACAAATATACCGAGCTCATTTGTACATGCCTCTTAAATGTAAGGAAGTCATCCTATACACACACACGCGCACACACACATACACGCACGCACACAAGTAAAAAAGAAAAACAATAAAACGAAAAGAATGCCAAGTGACCTTTAGATATTTGTAGTCCTTTTGTTTAAAATAGCATTAATATACTACACAAAGATAGAAAAACTCTAGAGATGAGATGGAATGGAGAGGTTAAAGGCATCTTAAAGTCACTAAAAGTGAGTGGTAATTTTTTTACATTTTGAATTTCTTAGTAATTATCCAAGAGGCGAGCTAAAAAAATGTTTTTTTTGTTGTCGTTTCCTGAAACAGAAGTGAGAAGGTACGGGGGCGGGGGGCGTGGTGGGACAAAAAAATGACAGTACCAATATCAATGTCAGAATTTCCTTTTTATATTATAGAAAAAAAAAATCTCTACAATAGTTTTCTAAAGACAAAAAGAGTCAGCTTTTGTGTCATAAAAGAAAGCTGCCCAGTCTGATAAAATTCAGAAACCAAATGACGAGAGAAACGAGTACAAGAACAGAGCGATACACTCAAAAGAAAGTATGCATGTAGAAAAAAAAAAAAAATCCCCTCCTCTTTTGACTTTAAATACTGGTACATGGAGCGACCTGTTTACACCCGTCGTCTGAACGCCGTCCCCCCCGGGGAGAGTAGGAGCGCCCACCCATCTCTCACCCTGCTTTAGCTTAAGTGCGCCTCCATCCGAGGGCCGACCCGAGCACTAGATTGGGCATTTTAGGCACACCTTTCAGAAAGGCTGGATGTCTGCTGCCAAACGTCTAGTCAGTGGGAGTGCAGAAAGAAATACTACAGTTTTAACTAAAAAAATAAAATAAAGAACCCTTGACTTTGTCGACTCTGCTTCCCCCAAGCTGCTAAAAAGAACAAGAACTGACGCTGTACACCGTCGGTCAGTGGAGTGTGGACAAAAAGAAGGAGCTGAATGTTGGACGTTCCTGAGCCAGCCGCCGATTGGCGACGGCCAGTCAGCGTGTGTGGATGTTACATATATATACGTGTGTAAGGGAAGTACCAGAATATTTACATCTAAAATTGTTTCCAAGTGGCAGCAAACTGGAAAATAATGCTACTTGTTTCTTTTATGGATATATCATCAATAAGACAGTAACACGCTCGTCTCCTCTGTCTTTGCCGTGTTTTTTGGTACAACACTGTCCATCTGGGAAGACGGGGACTCCGGAAAACAGCTCGGACGCCGCCTCAGATGCCCGAGCCTTCCGCTTTTTTTTTTTTTTTTTTTAAATTGTTTTGCAGGAACCGTCGTCTGACCCGAGCTGCCTCGGAGAGACGCTCGACCTTTTCAGGGAGGCCGAGCGGGTGGGTGTGTCACCGTTTCAGAATGCCACACATATAAAGACAAAAGCATATAAGAGGTCGGACTGCACACGAGTATTCCAAAAAAACGAACAGGAAAAAAACAAAAACGACAAGAAAAATAATATTTAACATTATGTTTAACAAAACAGTCCACCTACAAGCTTTCATGGTCTTTTTTTTTAGATAAGGCTTCCTATATCAATTAAAAGATTGTGTGCATGGTTGGATATACTCAGTTAACCATTTTTTAAATCTCATTCGAAGTCTGTTGGAGGAAGGAATTCCTGTATTGTCTCTCTGGGTCATTCATGGTTATTTTTTTTTTTGTTTTGCTTTTGTATTTTTGGTCGTTCTTGACCTCCCGCTGCAGGGGCCGGGGGACACTGTACCCATTTTGGCTCTTTGAACGTCCGGGGGCCCTTGATTCAGCCCTGCGGTACGCGTCCCGAATCCCCGAACACAGCCAGCTGAAGGGAGAACCAAGCCCCAAAAAATTAAAAAACCTGGACAAAAACGACTGCGCAGAGGAACAGGAAATCCAAGCACATTCCGCCTCCGATCAACCCAGCCCCACCCCCTACGCTGCCAGCAGAGGCGCCGGACCAGGCGGAGGGGAGCGAGGGGCATTTTAAAAACACAATGAGCGTCAACTCTGGTCCCGCATCTCCGTCGCCCTGCTCATCTGCTCATGTACGGCGACTGTTTCGGGACGCCGGCGTAACTGTGGTGGGAAGGGCCCGTGTACATCATGTTGCTATGGTGATTGGGCTGCATAGGCTGCTGGGGGTAACCCTGCCCTCCCATCATGCCCATCTGCATCTGCATGGGGTACTGCGCTGGCTGGTTCATGTAGGGGGGGTTGCTGTGGTAACCGCTGTTCATCATACTCTGCGGCATTCTGTAACCGGCCGACATGGCGTTCAGGGGCGTCATGTTCATGGAGTTGTACGGCGCCGGCGTGGGCATGAGGTTGGGCATCATGCCGCGCTGTACCGTCAGCGTCCGGGTGGTGCCCTGCATGGCCGAGCTGCGGCCGTAGAGCTGCTGCTGGTGCGAGGCCGGCGCCAGCTGCTGCGTGGCTTTGGAGCGGATGGAGATGTGGCCTTTGACCGTGGCCATCTGCCCCTGCAGCCGGTGCGACTGCGGAGGCCCCAGGCTGATGTTGGTGGCCGGCATGTTGCACTGCAGCTGCAGCGAGCCCAGGTTCATGGAACCGGAGCTGAGGTTGGCCGGTGAGGTCATGGTGGGCTGGCCCTGAGGAAGGGCGTGGGGCGAGGGAGCCAGGCCTGGGTTGGACAGGGAGACGCTGGTGGCGTACGACGTGACAGAGGCGGAATGCGAGTAGGGCATGGCGTGTGGGTCCATGATAGTGTTGGTGAGCTGCTGGAGCTTCGCCAGGCTGAACGTGGCCGTGGACTGGGGGTAGCTCCCTGTGCCAAAGTCCTGGCTCATCCGCTCGTAGATGGCACGGCCTCCTCCTCCGCCCCCTCCGCTTTCTGGGATCTCCATGATCATGGGTGTGGAGGCGAAACCGTTGCCCATGCTGCACTGGGACAATGCCTGTTGCTGTGGTGGCGGCGGCGCTGAAGGTTGGGATTGAGGATTGGGGGTTTGCTGCGGCTGCTGAGGCGGTTGCTGGGGAACCTTTTTCTGCGACTGAGGTTGCTGCTGCTGCTGGTTGGTGCTGGGGGGCCTCTCGATCACCCCACAGCTTTGAGGGGACTTGATACCGCAGCTGGGGGTGTTGGAAGGAGGCGGGGGTGGCGGAGGCTGCGGCACGGCGTTACTAGCTCCTGGTCCAGTTTGCTGGATGAGGCTACAGCTGCCCATTCCCAACTGGGACCCCCCAGTGGCAGTGGAGGGCGTGAGGCTGGGAGTTTGCACAAAGGAGCAACTGTTGGACTGCGAAGACGAGGACGATGGAGTGGCAGAGGTGGAGGAGGAGGAAGAAGATGATGATGATGACGAAGCTGCAGAGGGTCCTGCCACGACAGCACCTGACATCGCCCCTCCGTTACCCCCATTTCCTGTTCCGTTGCCCCCTCCGCCGCCCATAGTGGAGTCGTAGCTGCTGGGGTTGTCGTAATTCTCTGTCGTGCTCTCGATGCTGCCCAGGTCGCTGAAGCCGCTGTCCACAACCTGCTGCGAGTGGTCCGACACCGACGGCACGTCCATCATCGGAGAAGTCTCCATGTTCTGCTGGGATGGGGCGGATAGTGAGCTCGGGTGTTCTGGAGTGATTTGGGTGTAGCCGCTGCCGGTGCTGCTGCTATTGCCTGTGGATCCGGCAGGGCCCGGCGTACCGCCCCTCTGTCCAGCTGGTGTGGTCTCCACGACGCCTGAGGACAACCCTGGGCTGTTGACCGAGCGGACAGACTGGTTGGGCAAAGGAGGCACTGGAGGGTTTGGGAGTGGGCTGCTATGTTGTGAAGCTCCGCACTCCTCCACCAGAGGCAGACCCTCCTCTTCGTTCTCCCCTGCGTGGCTGTAACTCTGCAGGGTCCGGCAGGCAGCGAGCGTCTCCTCGCAGTCTTGGTAAGCGCCATGGTGCGGCTGCGGCTCGGCCTCTTCCTCCTGGGCCTCTCCTTGCGTCAGCGACTGCACAGCCTGCATCGTCTCCAGGTCCAGCTCGTTGGAGTGCTGATGCTGGTGGTGCGGATGGTGTTGGCCCAACTCCTCCTTATAGTCGGAGTGCTGGTGTGGGTGGGAGTGTGTGTGTTGGGGTTCCATCAACAGCGTGACGTCTTTGTCGTCCGGGTGTAGCGTCTCCAGCTGCATGTTCTCAGAAGGGACGGCCATGGCAGTGACCGTCTCCACGGCTGCAGCCGCTGCGGCCGACTCCTCTTGCTCCCTGCGCCGCCTCTCCTCCTGCACGGGGTCGGTGGAAGGAGGTGGAGACTTGACTTCCTGCACCTCCTTCTCAGCCTCCTCCTCCTCCTCCTCGTCTTCCTCCTGCTTGCTGACATAGCTTGGCACCACGCTGTTGTCCATGTCTAAAAAAGCCTCGCCACCTTGGGGTTCTTCTTTGACCGGAGGAGAGTTTGGCCGAGAGGTGGGCTCGTCCTCGTCCTCTTCATCCTCCTCGTCTTCTTCGTCATCAGAATCTGGTCTTTTTCTCGACTTGCAGCTGTTGCTCTTGTCTTCTAAATGTCCGTCACCTTCGTCATCCGCGTCGTGCTCTTCGCTCCGCCTGCTGCCAGAACCCGGTGTGACGGCTGCTCGCCTGGTGACGCTGCTGCCTCCACTGCCCATGCTGCCACTTTCCTCTTCTTCCCTGTCTTCGTTGTCGTCATCGTCCTCCCCGTCAGCTACCTCTGCGTCGTGGGGTTGGGAATGTGGGGCCCGTGGCCCTGACGCTGACGAGGAAGACGAGGGGGACAGTAGGGGACGGGATGGTGGACGGCTGGGCTTGTCTTCCACCCATGCGGTTTCAGTGTCCTCGTCCTCGTCTTCTTCATCCTCTTCGTCCGGCTCGGAGGTGGGTGGAGGCTTGGGGGCGGGCTGCGGTGGCTGGTGGATGGAGCGGTTCTTTGGCGGCCTCCCTCGCCTTTTGGGTACTTTTTGTTCGGTAGGTTTAGGGAAATAGTCGTCGTCGTCCGAGTCTTTTTGTTTGTCAGTTTCGCCAAGTCGCAAACTTGCGGTAGTGTGATCCTCTCCCTGGAGCAGCTGGGAGTCTTTGTCCAGCCGCTGTCTTTCCTTCTCCTGCTTCTCAGCCTCCTCCCGTTGATGGTACCAGCCCCGCGGCTTGCGGCCAGGCTTCATTTTGATTTTAGGGGTGTGCAAATCTCCACTTTGGATCTGGCCGCCTTCTTGGTTAGGCCCACCACCGGGGGGTTTCCCAGGATCGCATTTCGCCCACTGCGGCTTGCGGCTCTTTCCTTTTGGCCAGCCCTTCTTCTTCTTGACAGGGACCTCGGGGTTGACCATTGGTAACTCTGATGGCCTTGCTGCCAGAGCGGATATGGGTTTCAGCATAGGTGTTAGTTCTGGAAAAGCAAGAACAAAAGCAAGAAATCCATATGAAAACCCTACAACAGTGTATGTAGAGGTATCTATACTAAACTCCTCACGTCTTTCATAAAATACAAAAACAATTTATTTACCATCTTCCTCTGAATCAGAGAGGTTGGAGTGGCGAGCTCTCTTGGGTGTTGGCTCAGACAATCTCAGAGCAGATCTCGCTGGGGGGTAGCGACGCAGTGGGTGGCCCAGGGACATTTCCTCTACAAGTCTGGGCATAGGCCTCTCAGAGTCTGAGTCTACAAAGGGCTCATCCAACACCTCCGTCGTCTCAGAAATGGTCTCCGTCACCACGCTGCTCTGTGGGTGACTGCTCCGACGAAAACGAGGCCTCTTTAGGGGCTTCTAGGAAGGAACAATGCAATTTATTTAGAGATGACAATCTCTGTCTAAAGTCGGAACTAAAGTTTGTAGGGGATTAACATTGGAGATGCACCAGTCAGGATTTGTGGAGTTCTGATCTTCAGGTTTGCTGTTGTTTTTTAGATAGTGGTTGATTCCGAATTTTCTTTAAGATCTATGATTTAATAAGCCTACATGCAAAAAAGATTCAAACTATTTTATTTTCTTGCTTTCCTGCCAGAAAGTAACTAATTATAGGCAACTTAGTGCCATGTGTGAAAGAGCAGTCGGTCTAAGATCTGATTTTACTATTTTATAAAGAGTTAAAAATGATTGAAAAGTGCACATTTTAGGATGCTTTTACACCCAGACAATCTAGAACTTCTTTTCACTTCAATGCCTTCTGCTTAAGCAGTTTGGATTCCAGATATTAGAAACATTCATTTTTTATATCAAGAATTGACTTATAGTTTAAAAATCCTTTCTGGATATTAAATGTTAAAATGCCATAGTCGTACTGAAAACAGATGTTGTGTGAAGCAGTACAATGTTCTGCTATGTTCACACAGATCACATATGTTTAGGGTCGTCACTTCTGTCTCTTTGAATTGCTGCACTGCGAGGTGATAAAACCGGCCCAAATGAACTCTGGTCCATCTGGAGCAGAGCAAACCAATCTGGTAAGAAAGCAGATTTAAGTTGGCTTTGTTACATTAACCAACACTTCGGTTAGTGCGAAGTAGTGACGATGTCATCCCCTCAAAGCATGGAAGTTTGCTTGATTTGGAAATGTTAACACTCTTTGTAATCTCAACGGACTCCATTTGCCTTCCTGTTATCTAGCCAAAGTATTGCTCTCTCCTATGCCGAATGAATTGCATACATTTCTTTTGGATAGCTTCTTTTATTTGCTGGTGAGATTGGATTTTTGACTTTCTGAGTGGCCTTCCTGGTGCATCTCTAATTCTGACAGCTTCAGCCAGTCCCTTACCTTGCATTTGAGCCCTATTACTGGCTTGGTGAGGATGGGCGGGGAGCATCCCCTCTCCTCGTCGTCATCTTCGTCGTCATCCTCCTCCTCGTCGTCGCTGCTCTCACTGAAGCAGCTCTTGTCGATGGATGCCGCTTCGTTTAACCTGGACAGGACCGACTGCGTCAGCCCCTCCCCAGTCCCGTCTGGAAGCCTAGGCTTCGGGCCCCTCTTCTTTCTCGGCGGCCGCCCTCTTCGCGCCGTGGGGGTTATGGAAGGGTGCCTCGCCAAGTCCAGAGAGTGAAAAGCTGAGGAGTCTCCTTGTCTATCCATGGAGAAAAGGGACGGTGGGCTGCATGAAGAGCCGGCCGTCCGGCTCTCCCCCAGAATCTCATCATCTTCATCGTCCTCGTCTTCCATGGGGCGGATCTTGGGTGGCCGTCCGACGCGCGTGCTGTTCTTTATCTTGCCCCAGGGGCAGTTTTTGGGTGGACGACCCCGCGGCCGACGCTCACCGTTCGTCGGCAGAGGAGGGTGCGCCGGGTCTGGAAGAGTCAGCGGGCCGTGGACGGACGGGGAAGCTGGGGTGCTTTGGTTGATGGGAAACCCCAGGAAGCCCTTCGTTTCTTCATCCTCCACTCTCTGCTGCATCTGCCAGGGTGTTGTTGGAACCTTGTGGCTTGGTTTCATCTGCTCAGATCATAGAAATATATCAAAAATGTATCAAAGTAAGTCAAATAAACCCATCAAATTCGTGTTGCCTACCCCCTTATGAATGCCATCGTCTGGTCCTTCATCGTCCTCCTCTTCATCCTCCTCCTCTCCATCCGTTTCCGAGACGACGGTGTTTGTGACAATGACCGGCGTCCAGCGGAGACACTCTGGGTCAACTTCCAGCTGTCGCGGCCGAGCCTTGAGGCGAGCCATGTGGTTGGTCACCACCTTTTCCCTTCGCACCAACACAAGCCTGCAAAAAAAATAAAGGAGCGTTTCAGTTGTTTCAACTTAAACAGTACTAGACTAACTTGAAATGTTTCTCTTTTTTTAAACAGAGACTTAAATGTACCAAGTCACAAATTTGTTTGATAACTGCACCAGTACAGCCTTTATCTACTCCAGCAGCTTCACAAGTTTGGTAAAACATCAAAAAACAGCTTTAATCTGTTCGGTCAGTGCAATAAGGAGCAGAACAGCCAATGTAAAATAAATAACGAAACTGGAACTAACAAACACAAAAGGTTGACTAACTTTGTCAAAAATGTAACAAATAAACTGCAACAAACCTTCTTTCAAATGGTTCAGAAAATGGAATCTGGATTCTAATGCGATCTAGAATTTCTTTCAGCATCAGGACCAATACAGATGTTAATATCGGATCGGTGCATCTCTACACTTTAGAGATACACCAACATGAAAATTTGGGGCAATATAAGTATTTGCAATTAATACTGCTGTTATGGCTGACGAGAAATATATTTCATTACCGTTTCAACACGTTTGGGGGAAAAAATGACCAGAAACAGGCTGCAACGAGATAAATATAAATATCGGTCGTTGAATTGGCTCGGTTTTCTTTATTGGAACCGATACCGCCATCTTAAAAAGTGATTAATATCAGCCAACGTTAGCGCCGATATATCGTGCGTCCCTGCTTTACTTCTATGCACGATCACGACGTGCGACAACTTGCAGAAACCTGAGCAGAGCCCTGAACCGCTCCGGACGTGTGAAGCCGTGCGGCATTAAGCCGTCGCTCCTGACCTGTCTCCTCGCTGCTCCAGCATGTTGAGGCTGTGCAGGGTGGTGGTGATGTCCTGCGGGCAAATGCCCGTCTTCTTGCTGAGCTGCCGTATGGTGAGCTGCCGGTCACGGACCTCGTGGAGACACTCCAGCACCACGCTGCGCCAGTACGCCATGTAGGACAGCCGGCCCAGGTCCGACAGAGGCTTTTCCGGGGAGCCGGGTTGCCCTTCCCGTTTTGACAGCAGGTAGCCTAGAAAGAAATGGAAACGGTTTTATGCATTGTAAGACGACAGGTGACGTTTTCAGGCATTTTGGGGTGGACGGGCGTCCTTACTAAAGTCGATGAGAAAGCGTCCATAGCCCTTGCGCTGGTATTGTGGAAGAATCATGATGCATGATACGTTGTATTTCTGTTGACAGTGCTTCTCCTGCAGAAGAACAGAATGAAAAATATTAGCAAGTTTTTTTCTTTGAGTGAATAGACATCAGGGTTTTTATTCTGTTTTCATTCTTGCAGAGGGAAAAAAGTTGATGGATGATCCTTCAATGCAGGATTGTAGGGTGTGCCTGCAGCGTTTGTTTATTTCATTTAATACAGTTAGATTTTTACTGCACGTGCAGAAGTATTCACTCCCTCTGAAGTCATGTCACAACCGCACACTTCTGTTTATTTTAAGACCATTTTATGGGCTAGATAAGGTAATGCATAATTGTAAGAAATGTTTTTCCCCCCCAGATATTTGAGAAGTATGGCTTCCATCTGACCGGTCCATTCTAGATCAACAACAGGATGTTACAGGTACAACTCAAATCTTCTGCAGTGTGAGAGCCGTAGATGTCCCATAACTTTTTGGGGGAAAGAAATTATACAATGACTGTACAAATTTATATAAATATCTACTTCAGGAAATCTGTCATATTAAAAAAATAAATAACCTCTCTTTACGATTTAAAATGAAACTAAATTTAGCAAAAAGAGGATGGGTAGTTTTTTTCCTGTGAGATGGAAAAAGTAATGCTTTTATGTGTAAAAGCACATCAATTCCAACATAATGAAAAGACAAACAGATCAAAATGAATATTACTGGAACTTTCAGTGCAAATATTATAAGAACAATATTAAAAACTGTTTAAAATTTGTTGTTAAATCTAGATTTAAAACATTAGTTGCTTCTTTTAATTCCTTTAGCCAGAGTTATTAATAGCCATTGTTTAAGGCCCAATGAGCCACTTGTGGCTAAACTTCTACAACAACTTCTAGAATAAAAACTGAAGTTTGTGGCTTAAAGGAAATATGAAAAGGTTGTTTGCGCACTGGTTCCAGTTTAAAGGTATTTATCTCAGGAAAACAGAGCTTCCAGGGAGACATTCCGAGTCTTGCGTACCTTGGAGAAGTAGCCGACTAGATGGCAACCTTTGTTGTCGTTCTGTGTGAGGACGTAGAAAAGGAAGGGCTCCACGTCGTAGTAAAGGGTCTTGTGGTCCAGGAACAGCTTGGCCAGCAGACACAGGTTTTGACAGTAGATTGTGCTCACGTTTCCATCAACCTGTGGCGGGACAAGAGGGGAAGATGCCAAAGATTAGGACTTTTGGTCTTGTCTTTTGACACCCGGTTGCGTTCCCTGAACACATTACTCACCTCAAAAACAGAAACCTCGTCCTTCCTGTAGATCTCGTTGGCCGGAGGATGGAACCAGCTGCACTTCTTCATGTGCTGGTAGAGGATGCTGCGGCTCTTCATGTAGCGCAGGCAGAACTCACACAGGTACAGCTTGGGGAGCCTACGAAGACGGACGAGAAGATGGTTAAACGTGGAACAAGTCCATTCAGAGTACAGACGACAGCAAGCGTGGCGCTTTAGAAAACGAAACGATTGAAGGCAACAGCTATGAGCACCGACTGCAAGTCATGTACATTTTGTGCTAATGCTTTTCGTCGCGTTAGCTTACCTGCTGTACTCCTGCGGGTACGGAGACGAGTACCAGGTCTGGATTTCAAACTTGCCAAATTCAATGACTGACGGACAGCGCATCTGTGGGTCTGGTGGACCAGTCACGCCGACTTTCTGTTTGGGTGAACGACAGACGAGGAAATGGATCACAAACAGCTCATCATCGACAAGATACCAACAGCGGTTACCAAATAAAGAGAATTACGTTAGATACTTCCAACTTCAGATAGATGTTTAAGGAGGAATGGATTATTGCTTAAAATTAGCTCTTTCTCAGAACTAATGTTTAAGATTGGCACTGTTGCATTAGCTGAATTAAGTTTTCAGATAGCTGTGCCACGGCTGTCCGATTGTCTGATAGACATATTTTACTGGGACATTCCTAAAAGGACACATATTACCTGCATGCAGAATCACACATGCAGGTTGAAGATGCCCAGAGGGAACAGGCCTTGTCCTAACTCTACCCTGTGGCTTTAATCCATGAAATCTTTACAGACCAGTGTGACGAGCCCTGCCCACAGTTTATGACAATCATCAAGTCTTTTCCACTGCTACTCATCCAGATTAATCACACTTTTTACAGTGAAATAACTGCTCAGTCAGCACCAAACACTTCAGCGCCCAGTGAGGCTATTCCAGTCAGGATCCAAGTTTTATTAAGGCCTCTGCGAAGCCAGCCAAACACCCACCGTCTCAGGTTTACTGTGACACATAAACCGGGGACATAAAGGAGCAAAATTTATGCTTCGTCTCTTTATCTACCGTCTAACCCGTCAAGGCACTGACAGTAAAGTTTATGAGCCAAACTGACAGGTGGGAGTGGACGCGTATACACACAAGGAGAAAGAAGAAGAAAAGAGGACAACAACCTAGCGTAATCAGCGTGTAGCACAGCATTTTGTTCTAGTTTGACCTTCTGCGTGTTGTGCATTCGCGTCTTCCCCTCTGAGATAGTAAGGCATGCGTACCTGAAGCGCCAGCTCCTGAATATGTTTGAACAGTTCAATGTCTTTTTCTGTCAGGTTCTCGTGTCCGGGCAGTTTGTCTTCGTCCTCCCGCCAGTCGCTGCCGTCCTGATTGTCTGCAAACCAAAAGAATGAGCTGACATGAATGCAAATCCGATGACACTAGAGAGCTACCAACATTCACCATGAAGGCGAACGAATACACGAAGCTCTTGATGGTACGACAACTGAAGTGGTTAATGTTCTTGGTGAAAACTTTAGCATTTCCTCTACTCTGCAGTTTTGCACTTCAAACTTCAAATTTACTTTAATTCATTAGAAATAACTTCACAAAAACTGCAGATGTTTTTTCTTTTTTTTTTTTAATCATTGCCCTAAAACGATTGAGACAAATTCGAAATCAGTAACAAATAGAGAACGGTGCAACGTCTCCAAAAGAGAGATGTAAAGTTTTACGCATTTAATTCAAAGTACAGCATTGATGTCTTCGACGGCAACAACAGACTCATCCTTACCACCCCCGTCATCTCCTTCTCCTTTCCGCCCCGCCTTCTTCCGAATTCGGCACTGCTGCGAGTAGTCCACCACCTCCTGCCGCGCCTTGCGGCCCGCCGGCGATGGCGTGAAGAACTTGGTGAGGGCGTCGATGAGGCCCTTGGTCTTGCTGTTGAAGTGCAGGCTGCTGTTGGACTGCTCGTCGTCCCCGCGCATCGAAAAAAGTAGCCGGTCGTCGCCGGGATAACCTTCGCAAGAGGAGCTGGAGGAAGAGTTGGCCGAGGTGGAGCGCTTCCTCCGACCTCGGCCTCCCAGCTTCTTGAAGGGTCGCCCTGGTCTGTGGGAAGAGAGGACGGCAGGTTAGTCTGACTGAAGGAGAATAATCACTCTTAGCATGTGTCGTAGCTGTTAGCTTTCGGTAGCACATACGGTAATTTGGAAAAGCATCTGGGGAACTTTTAATTACATCCATAAACTTTAAAGTAACTTATTGGGACTTGCTACATTACAGCTTAGTCCACTTTAATCGAAGTCCGCCTAAAAGCCTCTCTTCTCGGTTCGGTTGAAGTGAACTCTGGTGCGGTTTGAACGCATATGTGAACGCCAAGCAGAGCGGAGAACGCACCAAAAGCAGGAAGCAGACTGTAGCGCAGGGCATTCTGGGTAAAAATAAAATAAAAAAAACAAACAAACAAATGTGAGAATCTAGCTCCAGAGGGAGAAGTGGCTCATGGTGTTTTGCCAAAGACGAAAGAGAAATCCTGCAACCGCTAAAATTTGACACCACTCCAGTTTTTTGTTTACAGTTTTGTGGCAAAGGAACGCTCAGTGTCTTCTTTGGAGGCTTTTGTGTCATTTCCTTCACTGGTTCTTGATGTAGCGCCACCACAGGCGAGGAGGGGAACAGCTTACTCAAACAGTTTGGTCCGTTTGACAGTGAAGTGTGAAAGAGAACCAGCTGAAAATGAAACAAATGTTGCCATTTTTCAATCAAACTGAGTCTGGTACTTAGAAGCTGAAATTTTTCGCCTATTCTTTGAAAAACAGCTCAAATTGGATCCGACTCGATGGAGTGTTTCTGTGAATATCAAGATTCTTAGTTGGATTCTGATCTGAACTTTGACTAGGCCTTTCAAACATGCTCTAACCTATTTCTTTCTTGATGTTGGTCTATGGTTATTGGCTCACATTGTTTTCTTTCCAGGATCAATTGGATTTCATTCAGTGTTATTAAATTAAAGGTGGCTTCGTAAAGCATGCATCACTAAGTTTTATTTATAAATATTTTTTCAACATTGAATTTTTCTTCTACTTACAGGAACGGGCTTCTGTTATGTTAAATTCCTGAAACAAACTGATTAAATGAAACAGTTTCAATATAATTAAACATGAAAATCCTGGTGGGTTTGTCCACCATACCTTGCGGCCAGTTTCCCCTCAGTACCTGTTCTTGGGCCGCCCCAGCGGCGCGTTGTATCGCCGTTTGATCTGCGCCGCCTTTTCATGCAGAAGCGTCTTTCCCTTATTCCTGGGTTGGCAGATTTGACAAATCCACATGCCTGAGAAAGAGAAAAGCAAAAAGAAACGACTGATTGCAGCTGGAACTCAGGAGATGGTTTTAACCTCCATTAACCTTCAACATTTCTCTTTTCCCCATCTAATTTCATTGTCCCTTTTCGTGCTCATATTCCGGTCAGCATTGTTTCGCTCTTCTTAAAAGGAAGAGAGACTAACTGGTAATTTAGGGCGCTGAATGTTTATAGCTAATTAAAATAGAAACAGAATAAACTGGAAATGACTCCTCAGAGCTTTTACGGGTGTTTTTTTTTTTTTTCCTCTCTCTTTACAAGAATTTTGTTAATTCCTCAATTTTCTCAAGCTCACCACAGGATGACGAAGCTGCATTTGAGTTAATTGCAAGCATGAGACCTAAACATAAAAATGATGAACGGTGACGTTTCCAGCTGGTTTGGGTCACCACTTTAAAAACTTTACACAGCAATTATGAATTTGACACTATTACATGGGTTACGGGATTAATCAATGTTAAAATGTTGCTTTGGCAGTGTGATGAAGCCATGAATGCATCTGATTCTGGGACTAAAATCGGACAAAGAAGCCAGTTTGTTATTGATCAGCCACTCAACCACCAAAACAAATACAGAAAAAATAGAACAACATTCGTTCCTCTTATTAAATATCTCAAAACTAAATCCCTCCATTTCTGGTGTAAAAATCTCAGCATGGACAAAAATCAGACAAAGGTTCGATCCTTGGATGGAAATAATCTAATAATTCTTCATTTTCTGTTGAATTCAAAGCAGCTCTCTCTATCAAATGGTCTGGAGAACATTATTTTTGTATGGGAACATAAAAGAAGGAGAAGAAGAAGAAGAAGCACGTCAGACCTTAAACTGGATCACCTGATCGCTGCATGTTTATCATTTACCTTTGGGCATCCGTGTGAGAGGCGGATCGCAGCACTCCATGTGGAAGCCCCGGTCACAAGAATCACAGAACAACATGTTATCCTGCAGAGACAAAAAGACAAATATCAACACGTTGGATGACGCTGGATGATAAACCGATTTGATCAAATGTTTGGTTTTTGAAGTCTACATTTTTGGAAAACCTGGATTTAAATTTTCATTTTTTTTAACCAATGCACTTCTTGGCACATAAGGCCTACTGTCTTCTTTGCCAAGTGTGTTTTAAAGTTTCAGGTCAACTCTGATTAGGGCCAGGCTGTGACCATTAATTTTTAATTATGAGAATAAAGTCATAATATTCCAATTATAAAGTTGTAATAATAAAAGAAGGAATTAGTAATTTTACAGGAACCCCAATATGAAAAGTAACAAAAATTAAAATTAGGAATGTTGAGCATCTTGTGAAGTTATACTAATAGTTGATACATTTACTGAATCTTTTAACACATCAGTATCAAATTATCATCCGTAGCAGAACGTTGAAACGAGTCTGCACAAACTCAGCTTTGTTCTGGTAATTTCAAAGTTTTGGTTTTTTTGGTAAAATTGCCTCTTTTTCTGACAGTATGACTGTAATCCTGTAAATAAACAAACATTTTTGAAGCCTTGAACTAATAGTCCATCACACATCTCACAGAAGAGCTGACAGGAATAAAATACACTTTTGAGAATATTTTCTGTCATTTCTTGTTTTAGAAAATAAAGTGAGGACATAACTAAATAAATAAATAAATAAAATCGATTGAATCATTCTGGTATGATCTGGTATTTCTGAGCCATATCGCCCAGACTGAGCTACATAGATCTCCTTTTACTACTAGATCTTTGCTCATAAAGTCAGTCTGGTTCCACCTTTAGAGCTAAACTCTACACGGTAGTGGAGCTCATTAATTCTGCTACCCTGATATGTAAAAAAGTTGTGAATTTGGTCGCACGCTTTGAGACGATCAGATAAATTATTTCATCAAACGTCGCCCCTCTTCGCACGACGGAGCAGAGTAACGAGAGGAATCGCTCGGCGCCGTAGATCCGTCTATCTGACGCTGAGAACGAAGAGGAGTGCGCTGAGGGGATGCCGCCTGTCTGGCTGCCAGTCGGCCATGTTTGTTCCTCCACTCACCGCATTCTTCCCCTGATCCTGACAGCTGCTGCAGGTCTTGCATTCGATGCACTGCCACCACAAAGCTTTGACTCGTGCCGTGAGCTCTGGGGAAAACTTGAGGCAGGACGGGTGGCCTGTAGGAAAACACACACACACACGCACACACACACACACACACACACACACACACACACACACACACACACACACACACACACACACACACAGACAGAAACAACATCACACACTGATTTCTGGCTGCTGTGACTGACAGCTCTTGACACAGATGCATGATTGTAAAAAAATAAAATAAAATAAATAAAAGATGAAGGGGAGCGGGACAACTTTGGGATTTGAAAGCCGTCGGAGGATCAAAATCGGCTGCAAAGTTAGTGATCAGACATGAACAACAATCTGTCAGAGCTGAGGGAGCAGAGGATCTTTTTTAGATCATGTAAGTCTAAACGAGTGAAACTAGATTGATTTGCTTCAGATAAACGTGAGAATCCTGCTTTATCGACACTAACCGCAGAAGCAGAAGATAAAGAAAACAATGGCTAAAAAAATAAATTAAGAAATAGCGCAACAGGAAACTCATTCCTGCTGCGGGAAACGGATGGTTCAACTAGAAAACTGATGGAAAGGTAGCTGAAGTTCATGCAATTAACAGTACTGTTAGCGACATATTAAAATATTAAAGCCCTCGGAGGCTTGTGATTGGCCGACTGCAATTAGAGGTGGAGATTACTGAAGCCGTCAGGGAAAAGCTGAGAGCAGCTCTACTGACAGCTGAGAAGCAAAATATATAAAGATGTGGAAAGATTCATTTAACACTCCTGATAAAAGGTGTGTACACAGCATTAGAGTCAATTAATCTGCATCACCTCACTGGAGAATAAAGAGCAGCTTTTATGTCTCTACATTCTTTAACTGAAGGAAATAAACTTCACTGTTAGGACAGAACTGTTTAAAAACTGAAAGGTTTTATGGAAGCAGACAGATTTTGAGTCCGGTCAGCCAAATTCATACTCTGTTGAATGATGAACCTTTTTCAGCTGCGCATTTTTACTTTACTGCTTTTTCTGGGGCTTACAGATCCTAGGAGGGGAAGCAGTCCCACAGCATCACACCTCCTACACCTGGCTGAACAGAGGGCAGGCGGTGCTTTTCTACAAACATATCCCCTTTGTTTCAAACTAGAGCTATAAAGAAAGGTTATTTCAGCAATCGATTATTCTGACGATTAATCAGATAAAAAATAAAAATTGCATGTCCTATAGATTATTTTATTTAACCATGTAAGCATTTTTAAGCACTATTAGAAATACTTGCAAATAAAGAAATACTTCAACAGATTTTTTTTTTAAATTAAAAAATAAACATTTTATTCAGTAAAATGCAATAGCATAGCATTTATTGAATTTGAATTAGGTGAAAATAAAACATCCCAAATGAGGAGTTTTGGCTGAAACATGTTTACAGACAAAGGCGTTTTATCTTAAATGCAAAATGTGTATTTTGTACAGTTCTGTTGCAATTATGGTTCTGAGTCTGTTGTTTTTTCAGCAAATAGCCTTTTTTTTGAGTCAGTTAACGATTAATCGATTACTAAATTAGTTGACAAACGTTTCACTAATCGATTAATCAGATTGATCGTTTCAGTCCTACATCAAATCCACCTGGGAAGTCTGTTGCTGAGACCAACATTAGTTGCACTGCTGACCTGATAACTTTTAAACATGGTTAAAAGTTTTCCCCCCCACTGAACAACTGTTTCCATGTGACATTATGCACGTCTTAACCAGAGATCCTTACACATCCGTCTCGAGTTGTGCTGTGTAGTCCATCTTCAGAAAGCAACCCAGGGTCCATACATACTTCAGCTCATAATGGGTTTAAAAACTTTTATCTGACTAAAATATTTGACAACCTTTACTTCCAACGTTAAAATCAGGAGTTTGAACCAGCACTCACCGCTGTTGCCGCAGTCGGCGCAGGAGATGAGCTCCTCCGGCTTCTTGTCGCGGTTCTGCTCCTTGGTCCCCAGACAGAAGCTGCAGATGGGGATGGGCTCCGCCACGGGCTGCAGGAAGGACACAACCGTCTGTCAAATTAACGGCTTCAAACGAAAACAACGTCGAGGCCTCGCGTCCCGCCACGGTCAACGAGCGCCGCCGCGTATATTAGCGCGCTAACGGCGGGCTGAAAATCACACGGACGCCGCAGAGCATGTGTCTGTGTGTGAGCAGCTAGTTCAGAGTGATGAGGAGTTTGAGAGCTGCCGTGATGACAGGGATTGTATTATTTATGTGGCGCCGCCATGTGTCAGAGTCTCTGCTAATCACAGGACGGTGGTTATGTGCCCTTGACCGACGCCGTTAGCTGAAGTGGTTTAGGTGGGTGTTTCTGACCGCAGAGTGTCTGCAGCTGGGGAGGCTCAATGAGGAAACTTTAAAATGTACAACCAAGCACAAAACAAAGAAGAAAAAAACATAATGATGTATGACCAGTGATGGTGGAAGGAACTGCAGGTGTATCTTTACCTCAGCATAGAGGATCGTCAAAAGAGCACTGGCACGGCTGGTGTGTGTTCAGCTTAATGTGATGCAGGAATGTAACCAGTTTGGTGCAATCAACTGAACTTTAGGTTTATATATGTTATAAAAACAGAATCCACACTGATCTACTAAAATGTTGTTCAACTTTGACTGTGGTGACAGTCATGTTTTATTGGCCCTCGCTTATGTTTAGCAATGTTTCCCTCAGAAAACTTGCTGAGGGAAACCTTGGTAGGGAGCCCGGTGGCTGGGTGCTAGGGCTCAACTCCCGTCAACTTTAAATTGTTTACAGTTGACAGGAAATTTGAAAATATCACTTGATATTATGTGTTATTGAAAGATTGGAAGATTTATACCTGAACACCAACTATGAAGTCTTAAAAAATGCAAACATTTTAAAAAGAGCCTGGTGGTCCGCCAGGCTTGTAATGCACTGAGGAGAAAACCGTGTTTATTATGTTTCTCATCCAGTTTTATTTCAACGTATTTTAGCGCTGCATAATAATTTTTAGAACTGCAACTCGCGATTGTTTTAGTTATTGATTAAACGATTATTCTGATGGTTAATTGTACAAAAAGTTGGCACAGATTTTTCATTCAAGCCTGTTTTATACAATATTAGAAATGCATAAAAGATCAAATTAAACTATTGCATTCTTTTTTTTTTTTATCAGAAAATGAACATTTTATTGCCAAAAGTGCAATGGCAGCATTGTTTTAGTGATAATTTGTAGCAAAGAGTGTAGCTAAAAAAATAACTTCAACTTGTGAAAAGCTTGTCAATACAGAGGAGGGCTGATCAATTGACTATATTATGGTTTAACCAATTCATAATTGGATAGTTTTACATAATCTGAACAGGGTGAAGCTGGAATTATGCAACTCGAGGAGGTTTTGAGTAGAACATATTTACAGACAAAGACTTGTTTTTAATCTTAAATGCGTCTATTTTTGTAGTTTTGGCTTAATTACTGCACTGAGTGTGTTGTTCTTCCAGCGAAATGGTCATTTTTAGAATCGATTACCAAATTAGTCGACAATTATTTCAATAATTGATGCATCATGATTAATCAAATTAATCATATCAGCAGTAATAAAAAAGGCAATAATTTTAGTGATAATTTAATTAGTGAAACAAATGATCACCAATCACACAGTAAGAAGAAAGGCAAGAAGTCTGGATGAAGTTGTGTGGCGATTGGAATCAGTAGATTTTCAGCTCGACTGCCCTCCAATCGATCTGAAAATCTAAAACCTGATGCAAACAATGAGTCATGTGCAGATTAGCTGTTGCTGAGGAACAACAGCTAGAAGTTAGCAATGTTCAAATCAAGTCAGAAGAAGCACAGAAAGAGAACAAGCTAGTTGGGATAGTAGACTCGTCAACTTTGGAGTCGTTCAGTCCTGATTTTTAAATGGTAACATAATGGAAGAACGTTCCAGAGTCTTGGAGCCTCTTAAGAAGCCTCTGTCCAGAATGAGGAACCATCAGCGGACCTGCTGCAGATGTATGGATGCTACGGTCCTCTGATGTAAGCCGGTGTCTACCCACAAAGAAATTCAGGTGTGACAGATATAAAGGTTCACACAAACAGTTATTACAGCTTCTAAAGAAAAATCAGACTGAGCTGGAAATTAGACATAATATTCAGATTTCTGCATTTTCAGAGCCTAAATGTGAGCAGATTGTTGAACCGAACTTCAAACACAAGCATAATACTCTGCAATGTAACACGATTACTTGCTGTTTTCAGTAAACTGCAAGTGAAGATCTGCATTTAATCCAATACGCTCCATGTGTGCAGACCTCAAAAACAAAGACTCTTTATGAGCAGAAAGTGTCATGGGGGGGAAGGGGAAAAACTATTTCCAAAGTTTAAAATAAACCCCAGGAGAAAATAATCATAAAAAAGAAGAGAGAGTTGATAAATTCCTGTCCAGCTTGACAGTGAGCATCCGTGTCAGAGAAGCAATAAAGATGGAGACTTGGAAAAGAGACACAGCTCTACGGGTAAGATGGGGAACATTGTGTTTAAAAAAAAGAAAAATAGAAGAAAGTAAGCAAGTCTAGGACCAGCTGGTTTTCTAAGGCTCAGCTTTGTAGCCGCGCGGCAGAGAGAGAAAAGGCCTGGTGAAAACAAGTTGCATGACATCTGGGCCGGTGCTTGCTAACAGCCGTGTGGGGGAAAAGCTAGAAACAAAGGGAAGGAAACGTCTTCAACAATCTGGCGAGGCTGAAGTGAAGCTTTTTGATCGCTTCGCTTTTATGTTGGTCCGATTCCCACAGTTTGAGTGCAAACATCTCACGCTGGAGGGAGGCGCTTCTGTTCCAACAAAAGCAAAACGATTCAGACTGTAAAAAGCTAATAAAAAAATACACCAGAGTCCCAAAAACTCCTGCAGCTTCAAAAACCACTACGATTACGGTAGAAATTATAAAATGGAGCTGTTTTTAGTAAGTATTTTTGTAATCAGCCTTCTTAAGTCACTTTTAAAACACTTAAAGTTAACACAAAGCCTAAACTGCATAGAACTATTCAAAAATCAGAAACACTTTCCATATTTGCTATTAAACAAAATTCTTCTGAGGCTGTGACAAACAGCTGCTAATGCCTTTGCTCAGACTCCTTTATGAGGCTTATGAAACCAAGACACCAAGCGTGTTGTTATCTCACACAGTTTCAGTCGTCATCTGCAACAGGAAATGGAGACGGCAGTAAAAGCTCGGCTGGATTTACATAAAAGAAAGTTTATTTTAAATTGAACTCCATAAAAGATCAAAATTGCTGCCATTTGACATGCAAAAAAAATCTTTCAGATTACATAAACAATACCTTACCAGGTACTTCTCTCACTTCAGGATGACACAGGGACAGCCTCTATAAGACCAGTTTTAACTGAGGTTGCACATATGTGCTTTACAGGATTTTTTGCCCACACAATACATTTAATTTTTTTTCAGATACATAATGTCGTTTTGCAAATTAATTAACACAAAGCTTTAGCCTCTTATAGCCGCCGGAGAGAAATTTGACGTGTGAATCAAACATAAACCGGAGGTGCGCTTTTAATACATTGTTTTGTGCGATAAGAGCTAATCGGTGTTGAAAACAGAGAGGTGGAAGGTTTTGGGGCTTCATCTAACGATTATTTTTGTAATAGATTATTCTATGGCAACTTTTTTAAATGCAATTAATGAATTAATCTGGCTGCTTAGATTAATCGATTAACTCAATTAGTCATTGATTAATCTGATAATTTAACCATCAAATTGATTAATCGAATTTAAAAAATTGGCATGTTCTGCATATTTTTCATTTAATGTCTTAAGTTTTTTGAACTATGTAAAAATACACTAAAAGAAATACATTAATTAAAAAATTTAAAATTTTATTGTCTAGAATGCAATGACAGCTTTCCTTTATAGAATCTGAACTAAAACTGCCAGTCGAGGAGTTTTAGGTAGAAGATATTTACAGACAAAGGTGATTTTATCTTAAATGCAAAATATAATCACATTTTGTGCAGTTTTGGCTTAATTACTGCTCTGAAAGTGTAATTTTTTAAAAATCTGTGTAGTCTAGTTAAAGATTAATCGACTACTAAATTAGTTGACTGTTACTTCAATAATCAATTAATCACGATTAATCGTTTCAGCTCTAGAGGGTTTACAGATCAAAGCGGAGGTTTTTAACGTTACTGTTAAAATGTTGCCTAAATCTGACTCCGGAGTGAACTGAGCAAAGAACAACAACAAAACTGACGTCTCACGCGGTACTCTGGTGTGGGAAACACGAGAGAAAAATAGATTTAGTTTTGTAAAGTGTCCAACACAAAAATGCATTCATGTAATTTTATTTGATCCATCTCTGTGAAGAAGTGCGGGAGCGTTGGGTTACAGTAATCTGCATCGGGGGCAGATTACTGCCACAGCTGCTGTCCATCTTGCTAATGACCAGCACCTCCCGCCGGTGCACAGCTTTGGCAAACGACGGCAGAACGTGCCGTCAAAGTCACATCGAATTCGTTTTGGTTGTTCCCGTCGGAACCGCATTCAGAAAGATTGGACACGAGTCGGATTCTGGACAACACATGGACGTGACTCAAAATAAAAATAAATAAGCATCAGTTTTGGGAGTTCACGTTCATTCTAGCACGTCTGTCCTGGTAACTAGCCTCAAAATAAAACTAAAAATTCAGATTTGATCCACATTTGCCTGCAGTGTGAACACAGCCTTAGTGACTCTGCAGACCGAAAAACGAATAAATTGGTATAAGTTATAATTTAAATCAGCAGGTCAGGCTTTTTAAAGATTAGTGATCCTCTAGAAAATTGCCATCGATGCCCCACTACTGCAAATATATTCACAACCATCAATAAACTATCTGATCCAGCTTCTCTTGATGGAGATGTCTTTCCTTTCTTCCAGTTTATTTCGACTTCCATTTATTGTCAGTCCATCTAACTACTGTGAATTTTTACATTTGCAAAGTTAAGAGATATTTTATGTTTATTTTACAGCTGCACATTTACCAGCACTGTAAT